TTAGTTGTTCAAACTTCCATTTTCTTTTTGCATTTTGTGGTGCGTACCTATTTGTTGCTTATTTGATGAGATCTGTTTGCGATGATATATCTTCAGGGGATGTTTTTTATTAGGCAATGCTTACTGCTTAGTCCTTAATTCGATCACGTGTTATGCTTGAATATGTAGGTTTTCACTAAGTCATAATTTGTATTAGTAGAGGCAGAAGTTGGTTTATGGCGAAGGAAAGGTCTAAAAATATAATATTCATGAGTGCAATTGAGGCTGTAATTTGAGAACTACATGTACAAACTACAGTTCATACTTTTCATCATTGACACTAGTACATAAAGCTACCATTAGATAAGAGATAGGACATAAAATGGATTAATTCGGTTGAAGTTTGAAATTAGCTACAGATTATGATCAGGATTCTGATTCAGTTGCTTTGTTTACCCTCTTAGTATTAATATTAATAAAATAGCTACAGACTAATGTTTATATCCATTTTGTTGATTTAATAATCAGGATTGGCAAGGACGAATCTCAAAGCTCTAGGAAAGTCAAGAAAAACTTTTCATTTTTGGTCGAATGTGCTAGAAATGGAGAAAAACATGGGAAGTCTTTTCCAAAACCAGTTTATGCCAAAGTTGTAGATGCTTTGATTGGAAATTGACTGAAGTTTTGGTGGATAATATGTTTTTGGAAAGATTGTACTCAGAGGTATTAGGCTTGGATGGATTTGATATGATATTTCTTGAAAAGGCATTCGACTATCTTGTAGCGCATCAATTTGAGGGAAAGAAGTTTATGGTGCAAAGATTGGAAATGTGCAAAGAGTGGCTACACACTTTGACTTCCACATTAGATTGAGTATTGGAGATGTTGATTGATTTATTTGGATACGTGTGTTTTTTATTTGGATAATTTCAGATATATTTATTTTTTTTATTTGGATAATTTGGATATGTATGTTTTTGTTATTTGGATAATTTTGGATATATTTACCTGTTTGATTTGAATAATTTTGGACATGTTTAGTTTATAAAATAAATTTTCAACTAATATAGGTTTGTACTTGAAATTATTGTAGCACTTTTGAATTTTCATTATTCATGATTCCATAGAAAACCAAACATAGAAAAATAAATTCTTAGAAATCACTTTCCTTTTCTTGTGAACCAAACATAAGAAAGTGAATACAAGGAAAATGAGTTTTAGGAAAGTGAATTCCATAATAATTGATTTTCCTTAGAATTTGAATTACCTTGAACCAAACAGACCCAGTGTATTTGTGGTGTCTGTGCTCAAGCCTGCTCTATTTTAGAGGATGTGTCTTGCCATCCTCGTTGAGAAACTTGCAATATGAGCATTCTTAGATCAAAGAGTCTTCAAGAGGGAAGTATCCTTGGTTTAGATTATTTTTCTCGTGTTATGGGCAATCTTGTTAAGATAAAAAGAACACAGAATTGAATCAAGAAGAATCACTATTTCTCTTATTGATTTCCATTACAGAACATAAGTCTATTTATAGTTTCTATTACAAGATAACATCTAACTGTATTCTGTTTAGAGTTGACTGCTGAGCTGTACTGTTGACTTCTCTGAGCTGGACTGATTACTTGGTCTAATACCCCCTTTCAAACAGATGTCAGTTGGTCTGACAGAAAGTTTGGATCTGAGAACAGCAAATCTTGATGTAGAGAGACCCTTGGTAAAAATGTCCGCAAGTTGGTCTTGAGTGCAAAGATAGTGTAGAGAAACAAGTTTGTTCTGTACTAGTTCTCTGATGTAATGATAGTCTACTTCAACTTGTTTAGTCCTTGCATGAAATATATGATTTGTTGCCAAAGAAAGTGCACTTATGTTATCACAGTGTAGAATAGGAGTACCTTTAAAGAGTATGTGTAAATCTTTGAGCAGGTGACAGAACCATGTAAGGTCAGCAGCACACTGAGCTAATGCCCTATATTCAGATTCCGTAGAGCTCCTAGCAACAGTGATTTGTTTCTTCGAGCACCAAGACATTAGATTACATCCAAAAAATATGCAGTACCCTGTGACAGACCTTCTATCCATGGGGCAACTTGCCCAGTCAGCATCTGAATAGCAACTAAGTGAAGAATGACCTTTATTAAACACTAAACCAAATGAAATTGTTCCTTTAAGATACCTCAGAATCCTTTTGACAGCAGTGAGATGGCAGGTTCTAGGCTTGTGCATAAACTGACACACTTGATTTACTGCAAAGGATATCTCCGGTCTTGTCCAAGTTAGATATTGTAAAGATCCTACAAGAGACCTGTATGTAGTAACATCTTGCAGCAGTTCCCCAGAAATATTATCCAATCTTGTAGTTGTTGAACAAGGTGAGGAGCAGGGTTTAGAATGAAGCATGTCAGCCTTTTCTAAGAGATCATACACATACTTGGATTGAGTTAGAGTGAGAGTATCAGTAGTTCTCTTCACTTCCAAACCAAGAAAGTAATTGATAGGGCCTAAATCCTTCATTGAGAACTGAGCACTGAGACTATCAATTAAAGACTT